ACGATACACATCTAGCCTCATAGTAATGCACACACTGCTGCCAGCACGATACACATCTAGCCTCATAGTAATGCACACACTGCTGCCAGCACGATACACATCTAGCCTCATAGTAATGCACACACTGCTGCCAGCACGATACACATCTAGCCTCATAGTAATGCACACACTGCTGCCATAGTAATGCAGCACGATACACATCTAGCCTCATAGTAATGCACACACTGCTGCCAGCACGATACACATCTAGCCTCATAGTAATGCACACACTGCTGCCAGCACGATACACATCTAGCCTCATAGTAATGCAATACACTGCTGCCAGCACGATACACATCTAGCCTCATAGTAATGCACACACTGCTGCCAGCACGATACACATCTAGCCCTCATAGTAATGCACACACTGCTGCCACACATCACATAGCCTCATAGTAATGCACACACTGTAATGCACATAGCTACTGCTGCCAGCACGATACACATCTAGCCTCATAGTAATGCACACACTGCTAGCACGATACACATCTAGCCTCATTGTAATGCACTGCTGCCAGCACGATACACATCTAGCCTCATAGTAATGCACACACTGCTGCCACTGCTTAGCCTACATCTAGCCTCATTGTAATGCACACGCTGCACGATACACATCTAGCCTCATAGTAATGCACACACTGCTGCCATACACATCTAGCCTCAGTAATGCACACACTGCTGCCAGCGCGATACGCATCTAGCCTCATGGTAATGCACACACTGCTGCCAGCGATACACATCTAGCCTCATAGTAATGCACACACTGCTGCCAGCACGATACACATCTAGCCTCATAGTAATGCACACACTGCTGCCAGCACGATACACATCTAGCCTCATAGTAATGCACACACTGCTGCCAGCACGATACACATCTAGCCTCATAGTAATGCACACACTGCTGCCAGCACGATACACATCTAGCCTCATAGTAATGCACACACTGCTGCCAGCACGATACACATCTAGCCTCTAGTAATGCACACACCTCATATACACATCTAGCCTCATAGTAATGCACACTGCTGCCAGCACGATACACATCTAGCCTCATTGTAATGCACACACTGCTGCCAGCACGATACATCTAGCCTCATCAGCACACTGCTACCAGCACGATACACATCTAGCCTCATTGTAATGCACACACTGCTGCCAGCACGATACATCTAGCCTCATTGTAATGCACACACTGCTACCAGCACGATACACATCTAGCCTCATACGTAATGCACACACGTGTCTGCTGCCAGCACGATACACATCTAGCCTCATAGTAATGCACACACTGCTGCCAGCACGATACATCTAGCCTCATAGTGTAATGCTGCTAGCATACATCTAGCCTCTGCTGCCAGCACGATACACATCTAGCCAGCACGATACACATCTAGCCTCATAGTAATGCACTACACTGCTGCCAGCACGATACACATCTAGCCTCATTGTAATGCACACACTGCTGCCAGCACGATACACATCTAGCCTCATAGTAATGCACACACTGCTGCCAGCACGATACACATCTAGCCTCATAGTAATGCACACACTGCTGCCAGCACGATACACATCTAGCCTCATAGTAATGCACATCTACACATCTAGCCTCATAGTAATGCACACACTGCTGCCAGCACGATACACATCTAGCCTCATAGTAATGCACACACTGCTGCCAGCACGATGCATCATTGTAATGCACACATCTAGCCTCATAGTAGTGCACACACACTGCTGCCAGCACGATACACATCTAGCACGATACACGATCTAGCCTCATAGTAATGCACACACTGCTGCCAGCACGATACACATCTAGCCTCATTGTAATGCACACACTGCTGCCAGCACGATACACATCTAGCCTCATTGTAATGCACACACTGCTGCCAGCACGATACACATCTAGCCTCATAGTAATGCACACACTGCTGCCAGCACGATACACATCTAGCCTCATAGTAATGCACACACTGCTGCCAGCACGATACACATCTAGCCTCATAATGTAATGCACACACTGCTGCCAGCACGATACACATCTAGCCTCATAGTAATGCACACACTGCTGCCAGCACGATACACATCTAGCATACACATCTAGCCTCTTTGTAATACTGCTGCCAGCACGATACACATCTAGCCTCATTGTAATGCACACACTGCTGCCAGCACGATACACATAGCCTCATAGTAATGCACACACTGCTGCCAGCACGATACACATCTAGCCTCATTGTAATGCACACACTGCTACTGCCAGCACGATACACATCTAGCCTCATTGTAATGCACACACTGCTACCAGCACGATACACATCTAGCCTCATAGTAATGCACACACTGCTGCCAGCACGATACACATCTAGCCTCATTGTAATGCACACACTGCTGCCAGCACGATACACATCTAGCCTCATAGTAATGCACACACTGCTGCCAGCACGATACACATCTAGCCTCATAGTAATGCACACACTGCTGCCAGCACGATACACATCTAGCCTCATAGTAATGCACACACTGCTGCCAGCACGATACACATCTAGCCTCATAGTAATGCACACACTACTGCCATCGTGGGATAGAAATACACATGTGTTAAGTTTCTCATTTAGTTGAGTATATAACTGTTCTGTTTTTTGGTTAGATCATGTTTTCCTTTTGCCAATCCAGACGTATGCCCACTTGTATCATGCATCAGCTGAACAGACACCCGGGCCCCACTCAGACACATGGTTCTGATTCCACGCCGACCATACTCGCGGAAGTATAATCCGCCGTTTAATACTATGTAGCTGGAATATTGCACATAAATACATACATATTGCAATGAATAGTCCAACGCAAACAATACGGAATATTCATGAGCAGAGATATAAACATATCTAAACAATGTAAGGTGCTTGGAAAGGCAGCGTCCTTCACCTCCTACACAACACATAAACGTCATAATGACCATACTCGATTGTCCGCCGAGTTGAATGAAAAATATAAAACAGCGGTGGCATTTCTATGAATAAAGCACTGAAAACCGCTCCACTTTAACGACAAACGAGTTATAGTTTGGTTTGCAGGTGAGGACATAGTGCGGAGGTAGATTGAGTGAGTGAGTGAGTGAGTGAATGAGTGGGTGAGTGAGTGAGTGAGTGAGAAGATGTGTGAGTGAGATTTTCAGTCGCTTTAAGCGTCCCCATGCGGTCAATCGAACCCAAGTCTTCTGCGTTACAAGCTGACGCTTTAACCAGTGGCCTACCCCACCGCTCCTGCGGAGGTAGTCAGAGTGTATAAATCTCTGCTTAAAACAGGGTCTATTTTACCTTCTGACAATATCGTTAGCGTTTGTTTATGAATTAATTACTCTGAAACAGTGGTGACACCAGGTGTTCGCGGAATGGTGAGCGTATCCTGCCCCACCACCGATCACAAACAGACGAAGAAGTAAACACAGTAACACCTTGTACAGGTAAATGTAAGAAATTACAGATGACATATTTTTTCTCTGATGGGTAAAATTTTGAAATATCCGCCACATGTTAGCTATACACACGTTAAGGTTTCCGTGAAACCGTTGGCGTCGTAGCCTTAATCGAACAACTTCTGAGCAGAAGTTGACGCTCATTTATGGTCGGCTGTGTACCTTTATGTGTAGTGAGTTGTTGTCATTGTCAGTGGCAGCAAATTGGTGTCGGTAAAATGTCGAGATTTACCTTCCCTGGTTGGTTCAACCATGAGTCTTAATCGTTCATGAAGGTTCGGGACACAACAGTTTCAAGATAGCTAGATTTACAGTTCAGAGTGGATAGCTGTCAAAAACGCCGAATTTTTGACAATTGACAACGCTGACACCGGCACCTGAACCCCTGTGACGATCGTAAACAATTGTTTGTTGTTTGTTTGTTGTTCAGCGCCGCACTCATAGGTGCAATTGCTGCTGCTAGTATTCAATCCATTTTCCTCGATTCTTTTATTTTTATTTAAAAACTTCGTGTTTTAACAAGGGGTGGTGGGGTAGCCTAGTGGTTAAAGTGTTGGCTCGGCACACCGAAGACCCGGGTTCGAATCCCCACATGGGTACAATGTGTGGAGCCCATTTCTGGTGTCCCCCGCCGCGATGTTGCTGGAATATTGCTAAAATCGGCGCAAAACCAAACTCAGCCAGTCGTGTTTGAACATGATGTATTATCTATTCAATTATTTATTCATTGGTGATTCGAACCTACGATCATGGAAACAACGATTTATTGAACAATGGATCAGTCCGCACCCCACTGCTTTGTATTTCAGGGACACCACAGTGTTTCTGGCTGTGCGAGCGTCTGAGACAGTGAGTGAATGTTACTTTCCCCCGCACGTTTACATCACGATCTATCCATTCAATACAGAGTTCATTAGTGACATCTCTCGAAGAGCTGTCTTGTGAAGATCCGGGCAAGAATTCGTCTTCGTAAGGGACGACCAATGGGTGGTCAGCTGGTTGACCAGTTTGATGCATGTCATCGTATCCCATTTGCTTATCTCGATGCTCATGATGTCAGTCACTGGATTATCTGGTCTTGACTCGATTATGAACTGGTGGCCGCCATATGGCTGGAATACTGATGAGTCCGGCGTTAAACAACAAACACTTAATCATGAATAGAAGCTGGTTCCCTCAGTGTTGTTCACGAGGAGTGGGTGGGTCAGTGGGTGGTGTTCACAATCCGGCAGTCTGTACTGGCCATTACAGGCTCTGTGTCCAGGTTGAATGCATGCCGTGTAACCCAGACGAAGTGGATCATGGGACCAATCACTTGTTTGTCTGGTCCAGGCTTGATAACTTTCTGATCGCCTTCATATTACTGAGTGCGGCTTTAAACACCAAAACATTAAACCCACGAAAACAAATACAGTGGGCAGTGAATAATGTTTTCTGTGGAATAGACGAATATATATTAATTGAAAATAAACAAATCTGGACAGAGGAAATACAATAATTTTATTTTCTATAGGCTGACAAATATAAAAAAACAAGTTCATAACATGGGCATGAACAATCTTTTCTTTTTCTCAACAATGAAACCATGACGCTTAGCATGTTAATAACTGTCATTGCTGCATTTCTACAACATACACTGTATATCTGATGTGAGATAACGACAAGTAGCTACGTCGTGCGCCTCACACGCCTCATACCACGTTCACGTCGTGCTGATTTCATTAACGTTCCTGAACTCTTGAACACTTAGGACTAAAGACAATTTCAACAACCGCAAAACTAAATATACCAGTATCCTCTTTAGGAAGGGCGAGCACACAGACAACTGACAGTTGACCATTGTAAAATAAATGTAGAGAGGTATTTTCAAACTATTTGAGCAATAAAACACATTGCCAAATACAGTCACGACGAGCATGTTTTACATGCAAAACATAATATGTATTGTCAGCATTATACATCATCTATACGGGGACCGAGTCCGTCAAATAAATGCAACATTGTATAACATCCACGTATGCCCCTAAACATACAAATCAATAGATCAATCTACTGATATGTTGATCAATATGTCCATATACTATTTTACCACGGCTGTATTCATATCTATCAAAACTGATGGAACAAACGAACAATTGAACTTATTAATCTGGACTAAAATGTATGGAAACTAAGTAGCAAACTTTCAGATCGACTTAAATACGTTTTAGGAATCTTCTTTTAGCAGAGATATGTCACGATGATAGAAACTGTTCACTTGCGTTGAATATGATGCTTAACAGAAAGACGGAGTGAACATGGGAACCCTGAAGAAACTGCTACTCACAACAGTTACAAGATACAAAGAGTTGTCTTCCGCTCAAGTCATTCTTCACCCCAATACTGATTTTAAAGGGGCACTGAACTCGAGCACACTGGCAGCCTAGGCTAATTTGATTGATCTCCCTTAGCAAAATTACCAGTTTCCAATTGTTCCGCTTTTGTCATGTAAACCAATGTAACTGTTATTTATTAAAAGAAATATAGATATAATTACCCAGGTATAAGAACTTGTGGCACCGACCTCTTAAACAATTCGGTAACTTTGTCAGCATTATTAGTTCAGTGTGTACTTTCACCTGTTGAGAAAGATACGTTATCTTACGTCAGATGTATTACCTCATTACAATTATAGTATAGTTTCGCGTTTTCCGGATTTTTTCACTAATGCATTCTTAAATATTTATTGATACTTTCCCATACATTTCTCAGTTCATCAAAAAAGTGAAGTGAAATGTTATTCTCATAGGTTTCTAGACGGATTCCGGTCCAGAAACCCCAAGAAACCAAAATGAGAAGGTATTCGGACGTTTAGAGAACGGAAACATGTCTTTGCATGTTGTGCACTTAATGGCATTATCAATTGTGAAGACTAAATGGCACTCTGTTCCTGATCATAACGTGACATCATGTAACCGGTAGTAATGTTATTGGTCATAACGTGACATCATATAATCGGAAGTAATGTTCCTAATCATAACGTGACATCATATAATCGGAAGTAATGTTCCTGATCATAACGTGACATCATGTAACCGGAAGTAATGTTATTGGTCATAACGTGACATCATATAATCGGAAGTAATGTTCCTGATCATAACGTGACATCATGTAACCGGAAGTAATGTTCCTGATCATAACGTGACATCATATAATCGAAAGTAATGTTCCTGATCATAACGTGACATCATGTAACCGGAAGTAATGTTATTGGTCATAACGTGACGTTATATAATCGAAAGTAATGTTCCTGATCATAACGTGACGTCATATAACCGGAAGTAATGTTCCTGATCATAACACGACATCATGTAACCGGAAGTAATGTTCCTGATCATAACTCGACGTCGTATAATCGAAAGTAATGTTCCTGATCATAACGTGACATCATGTAACCGGAAGTAAAGTTCCTGGTCATAACGTGACGTCATTTAATCGAAAGTAATGTTTCTGATCATAACGTGACATCATGTAACCGGAAGTAATGTTCCTGATCATAACGTGACGTCATTTAATCGAAAGTAATGTTTCTGATCATAACGTGACATCATGTAACCGGAAGTAATGTTCCTGATCATAACGTGACATCATGTAACCGGAAGTAATATTCCTGATCATAACGTGACATAATTTAACCGGAAGTAATGTTCCTGATCATAACGTAACATCATGTAACCGGAAGTAAGGTGATACGTGATGGAAGTCTCCCTGCCATCTATCCTAATGGGACTATGTGATCTACTTAACACACTCACAAGAAGAAAATTGAGGTATTTCTGTTATAATGATAAAATGTTCAGCATAGCACGTGATATAATTATGATTAATGATATATTTTGATTTATAATATATTTTTATGATTTATGACGTTGACGAGTTAGGTGACTTTGCACACTAAGATGTATACATAAGCTGTCGAATTAACTTGCTTTACAAATTCATGCGTTATTTGATTGTTCTGCAGGGATACGCGACCACTTTATTCTTAACAAAGGCCATGCTATTTCACATCATCAAATCGTCTTGTCAAACCGAGATCCCCCAACGATAACATCATAACTACCATATTCAAATTAATCGGAAAACTGACATTTTTACTTGATTTGATCTTACACGTATTGCGATTAGATCCCTGTGAGTAGAGGGCCCTAAACATATAACATTGTCAGATACGATCTTACACGTATTGTGATTAGATCCCTGTGAGTAGAGGGCCCTAGACATATAACATTGTCAGATACGATCTTACACGTATTGTGATTAGATCCCTGTAAGTAGAGGGCCCTAGACATATAACATTGTCAGATACGATCTTACACGTATTGTGATTAGATCCCTGTGAGTAGAGGGCCCTAGACATATAACATTGTCAGATACGATCTTACACGTATTGTGATTAGATCCCTGTGAGTAGAGGGCCCTAAACATATAACATTGTCAGATACGATCTTACACGTATTGTGATTAGATCCCTGTGAGTAGAGGGCCCTAAACATATAACATTGTCAGATACGATCTTACACGTATTGTGATTAGATCCCTGTGAGTAGAGGGCCCTAAACATATAACATTGTCAGATACGATCTTACACGTATTGTGATTAGATCCCTGTGAGTAGAGGGCCCTAAACATATAACATTGTCAGATACGATCTTACACGTATTGTGATTAGATCCCTGTGAGTAGAGGGACCTAAACATATAACATTGTCAGATACGATCTTACACGTATTGTGATTAGATCCCTGTGAGTAGAGGGCCCTAAACATATAACATTGTCAGATACGATCTTACACGTATTGTGATTAGATCCCTGTGAGTAGAGGGCCCTAAACATATAACATTGTCAGATACGATCTTACACGTATTGTGATTAGATCCCTGTGAGTAGAGGGCCCTAAACATATAACATTGTCAGATACGATCTTACACGTATTGTGATTAGATCCTGTGAGTAGAGGGCCCTAAACATATAACATTGTCAGATACGATCTTACACGTATTGTGATTAGATCCCTGTGAGTAGAGGGCCCTAAACATATAACATTGTCAGATACGATCTTACACGTATTGTGATTAGATCCCTGTGAGTAGAGGGCCCTAAACATATAACATTGTCAGATACGATCTTACACGTATTGTGATTAGATCCCTGTGAGTAGAGGGACCTAGACATATAACATTGTCAGATACGATCTTACACGTATTGTGATTAGATCCCTGTGAGTAGAGGGCCCTAAACATATAACATTGTCAGATACGATCTTACACGTATTGTGATTAGATCCCTGTGAGTAGAGGGCCCTAAACATATAACATTGTCAGATACGATCTTACACGTATTGTGATTAGATCCCTGTGAGTAGAGGGCCCTAGACATATAACATTGTCAGATACGATCTTACACGTATTGTGATTAGATCCCTGTGAGTAGAGGGCCCTAGACATATAACATTGTCAGATACGATCTTACACGTATTGTGATTAGATCCCTGTGAGTAGAGGGCCCTAGACATATAACACTGTCAGATACGCGTGTAGAGAATCGAACCCGGGTTTTCGGCGTGACAAGCGAACGTGTGGACTAGGGCCGGTGTTACCAGTCAGGGGTGCATCTTTCGTATAAGCAAACCATGTTTTTTTTTCACTTGTGAGTTTGTGTGTAACATCTTAAAGTTCATTGTTGAATTGACTATTGTTTCACTTTCACTGTCTGGGGCATCGCCAACGCTTCACAGATTCGTTTACTCGTGTTCCCAAAGTGCCCATGAATACATACGGTTGCTAGCTGCTATTTTTAACCAACGAATCAAGAAACGGCCTTGTTTTAGCGTTTGCTTTGACCAATGAACGCAGATGTGGCAGCATGCCTCGTGCACAGAGTTGACAGTCACTCGGCAAACTCCTTCAATGTTAGACAACGCTGAGTTGGCACAATTGTCCGACGCGGATTAGGCCCCTTAGACTTGCTGGACAGATCGACGGGTGTACCTACTGCATAACGACCCATGTATTCATGGATGAACCTGACCAAACCTCTGTAGCTCTGACGATGATCCCGATATCATGAAAACTTACTTATCATAAAACAAAGTAACAACGTAGTCATAATACTTTTAGGTATTCAAGTGGTTATTGCTGACACAATACACTTTTACAAATACACATAGTATTGTAACAAAAATATTTAGAAACAGCTATGTGCTTCTTCGGGAAGATTAGAATGCGCCTCCTTTTGTTGCCAAAGGTGCGGTTACCATTGACAATGTGTATTTCCATTAATGAAAACAGATAAGGTCTAGAAAATAGTTTCCCTCAGGTTTAATGGAAAATGTTCCTTGCTCATTTCAAAGAAATATATGTCTTTAAGGCAGTGACTGAAATAATATGTTGTTCCTACCACAGATTCCAGGTTCACTACGAATATCAACAGAAATGTTCAGTGATATGTGGCCTCTGACTAACTGTACAGATACAACACCAGACAGAAGCGGCAAGTCATAACAAAGGGTTCAGTATAGGCATAACTGTCTGCATCTAAAGAACAAAACTGTTTTTAAAATTCTTTTTCTCTCAGCAATATCCCAGCTATGTAGTTGCGGACTGTCGAGTCTGGATCAATGATTTATATCGTGAACAATGATCGGGGTTACACAGATGCACATATTGTACAATCTGACCACCCAACACATCAGGTCGCCTGTTACACAGACTCCGTATTCCCCGGAGCTGGCTAAACACTGTTAATTATGTAATGATAATAAATACATGTGTAATACAACTACACACGGAATGATGTTCATGGATATCACAGAGTACAACGAGGTAAGCCAAAAATACACATATTAATGATAGGCAAATATCTCCTCAAGGACACAATACGAGGTGAGATGAACACGGGCGTCAAACATGTTTCGCTTCTGTCTCTGTCAGGCATATATTCTATGACGGGGTTGGAAGGTAGGCAAGGATTCCAATCAACTTCCACATAAATGTGCTTGCGTACTTTCACCTTACCTTCAAGATAATACTGGCACTCTCAGATTTAAACCCTTTCACTTATCTGGTATTTTATTAAAACATTTACACCAGCTATCATCGACCTCAACTTGGCAACGTGATATTACTACAGTTTTAACAGCCATATACTATCGGAAACAACTTAGCAGAGATAAAATTAACCTAAAGTGGCATTTGCATTTTTACGCCCTAATGACAAACGTACTACACTTATGAACTGATTTAACTTGAAAGTAACATCAAATGGGTCTTGTGTAGATACAGAGCAAAAAGCAAAAACACAGTCAGGTCGAAGACTTTCTCATAGAGAAACAAATTTAGATGCCCATTAAAATCTTTCAATTGCATCACATCTTGCTGTTATAAGTGAAACACAACCTTAAAATGTTGCTTTGCTTTTCAAATATGTTCTGAACAATACTATAAAACATGCAGCATACCTCCCTATTCATACCTCGTCTTTCTTTCTCTCACTAGCCAACTTGAAAAGTCATCGAGATATCCCAGATGCAGATCTATCCTCATCAAGCACTCTACCATTCATTACCACAGGACACAACCCCGCCATGATACCATCGAGTGATGTACGAGTATACATTCGAGCAAACTTCCTCTTCCTCCACGTCCCCAAACGTCATCAGCTCGTCTTCAGTGTGTGATGACAACGAAGGACGATATCGACAGTGGATGCTTACCACCATAAATACAGTGTCTGTCAATAACAATAACATAAATAACAGCATATTTCACATATTCTACAGATGTTTACATGCACATTGTCTCCTCCCTTGTTTCTTCTTCTTTCCTACAACGAAACCTGAGACAACCTTACGTGCTAGATACTGACACCGGCAACATCAACACACTTCACAATGGCAAAAACAGAGATAGCGATATTTCATCACGCTGAGGAGGATGAGTCTCATGTGTATGCCTGGTTGTCAATGCCAAGGACAGTCATAAAACATTGGTAGCAGAGGAATTGCCCTCTAGCCATGCGCCATATTTGGACGAACATCATTGCTTACGTGATCAGCTATAGTATCTAGGTATTCCCGCTCCAATCGCATGGAACCTTTCTGGTCCGAGTACCATATTCCAGGGAGCCACAAGGTCACGGTCACCGAACTAGTAGCAGTAATGTAAATATATGACGTCATCTGTGGCGTCATCTGATATTGGAGCCTAGGACACGGTAAACATTTCGACGACACATCTTGGTTTGGCGCCATTTGGCACCTACTCGAGTCGAAGGTTTTTTTGTGGCTGAAACTCATGGTGTGTCCTGTTGCGGGTAGATAACGGGCGGGCCCTCAACGTATTAATACCGTAATGTTAAACATATCTACCTGCATTACCGACAGTCACAGTTTCTCACAACTAGATCTTGCAATTCTGCACGTACTAAGTCATGATTTTCGTTAAAGAGCCATACACTCAGTGGTGAAGTTTCAACAGCACGGCATTTACCTTTCCTAGATTTTCTACCACGTGACCGTTTGTTCCGGTTCCGGTTTCGGCCTCTCCGCCGCCGCCGGTTCCGGTTGCGACGCATTCTGGGACATCTGCCGATACACCTTGAGGCTTCGTATCCACCTGGCGTCACAATGGCATCGTCTAGTTCCATATCACTAAACTCTACATATGTTGACATCCTACAGCATCTGCTGCTTGTGATTGTTCCATTCCTATAAATGAGATCGGAAGGGTTACATGACAACGAACGCTTCCGTCTATCAAAGCTCTTATACCGCTGCTCTATTATCATGAAAGGAAGTCTTTGAGTTGACACCGTAGGGGGGTAGTTTCTTGGAGTACCACAGCCTCGTTTTCGACCCATTGCTTTTGACTTCCTTCCGTGCTTACCTCCCTTTTTACCCTTATTCCGCCTCTTCTTATTTTTCTTACACTTCCTCTTGGGCATCTGGGGAAGCATGAGCCTTGTTTTCTTATTACAACGTTTACACTCAACTCGCAGTATGATTGTACTGTTGTGGCTCATTTCTAGATTACGAACAAGTGAAATTGGTAAACTGATTCGAAACCAGTCCGTGCTTTGTATCCTTGTTCGAAGTTCCGCGATGACTTTATCGTCTTTGGAACTATTATTGTAAACACTGATTCGAATCATTTTCCCTTTTCTCTTCCTCCTCGCTTGTCTCTTTTTCTCCTTCTGCCAGACATGGATCCACAAATTGACCCGTGTCACCACGGAAACTTGATCTCCTTTAGATTTTTTAATGGTAAATTTCAGTAGGTTTTTGCCTGGAAATAACAAGAAATGCGACTCTTATATTGTATAAATCAAATTAAGATGACAAAAAGTTACTTGCTTACACGCCAAAGAAGGTGAATAAAGTGGGAGGGTACTGATACAAGTACAAGATTAAGGTACTTACACAGGTACAAGATGAAGGTACTGATACAGGTACAAGATGAAGGTAAACGATATACAGGTACACGATATACAGGTATAAGATAAAGGTACGTACACAAGTAAAAGATGAAGGTACTGATACAGGTACAAGATGAAGGAACTGATACAGGTACAAGATGAAGGTACTTACACAGGTACACGATGATGGTATTGATACAGGTACACGATGATGGTATTGATACAGGTACACGATGCAGGTACTGATACAGGTACACGTACACGATGATGGTATTGATACAGGTACACGATGATGGTATTGATACAGGTACACGATGATGGTACAGGTACACGATGAAGGTACTGATACAGGTACAAGATAAAAATACTGATACAGGTACAAGATGAAGGTACTGATAAAGGTACAAGATGAAGGTACTGATACGGGTACAAGATGAAGGTACTGATACAGGTGCATGAAGAAGGTATTGATACATGTACACGATGAAGGTACTGAAACAGGTACAAGATGAAGGTACTGATACAGGTGCATGATGAAGGTTTTTGATGCAGGTAAAAGATAAAGGGACTGTTGCAGGTTCAACATGAAGGTACTGATAGAGGAACGAGATAAAGATACTCATACACGTACACGATGAAGGTACACATGCAGGTACAACATGAGAGTACTAATACAGGTAGACGATAAAAGTACTGTTATAGGTACACGATGTAGGCTACTGATAACTGTACACGATGAAGTTACTGGTACAGTTACACGATGAAGGTACTGATACAGGTACACGATGAAGGTACTGATACAGTTACACGATGAAGGTAAACGATATACAGGTACACGATGAAGGTACTGGTACAGGTACAAGATGAAGGTAAACGATATACAGGTACACGGTGAAGGTATTGATACAGGTACAAGATGAAGGTAAACGATATACAGGTACACGATGAAGGTGCTGATACAGGTACACGATGAAGGTACTGATACAGGTACAAGATGAAGGTACTGCAACGGGTACAAGATGAAGGTATTGATACAGGTACACGATGAAGGTATTGATACAGGTACACGATGAAGTTACTGATACAGGTACACGATGAAGGCACTGATACTGATACGAGATGAAGGTACTGATACAGGTACAAGATGAAGGTATTGATACAGGTACACGATGAAGTTACTGATACAGGTACACGATGAAGGTACTGATACAGGTACAAGATGAAGGTAAACGATATACAGGTACACGATGAAGGTAAACGATATACAGGTACACGATGAAGGTACTGATACAGGTACAAGATGAAGGTAAACGATATACAGGTACAAGATGAAGGTAAACGATATACAGGTACACGATGAAGGTACTGATACAGGTACAAGTTGAAGGTAAACGATATACAGGTACACGATGAAGGTACTGATACAGGTACAAGATGAAGGTGTTGATACAGGTACACGATGATTGTATTGATACAGGTACAAGATGAAGGTATTGATACAGGTACACGATGAAGGTATTGATACAGGTACACGATGATGGTACTGATACAGGTACACGATGATGGTATGGATACAGGTACACGATGAAGGTATTGATACAGGTACACGATGAAGGTATTGATACAGGTACACGATGAAGGTATTGATACAGGTACACGATGATGGTATTGATACAGGTACACGATGAAGGTATTGATACAGGTACACGATGAAGGTATTGACACAGGTACACGATGATGGTACTGATACAGGTACACGATGATGGTACTGATACAGGTACACGATGAAGGTATTGATACAGGTACATGATGATAGTATTGATACAGGTACACGATAAAGGTATTGATACAGGTACACGATGATGGTATTGATACAGGTACACGATGATGGTACTGATACAGGTACACGATGATGGTATTGATACAGGTACACGATGATGGTATTGATACATTTACAAGATTTCTCGATTATGATATATTTTGATACGGATATACATTAAAGGTACACATAAACACACAGAATATCCGATACACGTGCTGATTGTTTTCAGGGTACATATAATGATACATATGCATGATACAGTTACTTTGGAGAGAACTATAGTCTTGGAGAGAAGCTGTGGAGATAGTTGAGTACATGTAATAGGTACAAGATGTACTCAGTACAGGGCGAGAGAGATTCACACTCCATTTCGACAAATATAACATTTCAGATATTAATTCAAACAATATACGTTTAAAACCATTTTATCTTTAAAGAAAAAATGATATTGGTTGAATAGTAAGCAAAGGAGTTAATTTAATTGTCGTTTTCGTATCAGCACAGTATCTACAACTAATGAGACAGGTACTTTAAGGACAGTCGGGCAAGTTGACCAATTCATGATACATAGCTCCAGCATGGGCTGGGCCTGAGGCTGAATGTTTCTTTAGCAAGCAGCCCAACTACGCCAATCAGGAAACAGGGAAACATGGACGGCCAATCCGGATCGATGTGCCCGAGACCGAATAACTCGGACCAGTCTCGTGAGAAGGATTATGTGGGATTATAGGCAGACTATGTTTAGAACTGACTCACTTATCCATATTTCTCTTCAAGACGATTGTTACGTGCTATTACCATTAAAGAAATCTATCTTATAAAATATTACATATCACTAAATGGGATTGAGCGAATTTGTGATGTTATAATTGACGTTTGTGGTTTATGAAGCAAATAATATGACGTTCTCAGGAGACAGAAGGAAATTAATAATGGTGAATTATCTCACTGCTTGTTAGCATTGGACCGTCCGCTCATCGACTCAGCCTAATTTGTAATAATACAAGATTAATTGTCAAGAAATAAAGTGACCCCGTTAACCCAATCATATTGTTCCGTCCGGTTTATTACATGTCCGTAATAAAGAATACGAAATAATGTCTGTTTAACTCTATAGAAACACCCAAACAGCAGGGATTCCGCACTTCCGTGTTTCTGAAATATCAGGGGGCGGTGGGGTAGCCTAGTGGTTAAAACGTTCGTTCGTCACGACGAAGACCCGGGTTCGATTCCCCACATGGGTACAATGTGTATCACCTGCAGTGATATTGCTGGAATATTGCTAAAATAACAGGATTCACATTAACGGAGGTTTGGACTAACGGGATAATGACGACGATGTTTTTACTCGAAATGTGGATTTCTGAATAAAGGAGGTTCGCTTTAAGGAGAATCTCGCCTCGTTGACCATTGCTACATTCATTTACACATATTCATGAAATAATCCAAATATCCCTACATGGGTTCAACATGTGAAGCCCATTTGTGGTGTCCCCCGCCGTGATATTGCTGGAATATTGCTAAAAACGGCGTAAAACTCAACTCACTCACTCATTTAATCCAAATACATTTTCGCTATTGCACAACACTGGGGACACCCAAAGTAGCTGTGAGTAAGGCAGCCTGAAATACCAGATGACGAGGTCAGTGTTGCAATAGCATCGCCATTATCAATATTTGCCAGCGGGCGGTACGAGCACCATTGGCTGTTTACACATGCATCGTTACTACAGGCAGGACAAACATGCCTTGTGGGCGTATTAATAGATTGTATGTAATATGGTTCAATGGCTAATTTGTCAGCCAATTTGTCTGAATCTAGTTCGGAAAGTGTTAAATTGAAACTAATGACACAGTCCGCGTTTAATTTCTGTGCTAAGCGTAAAACATACATAAAGATACAATGTCGATGTTTAATGACGCCAGTAATGAGGCGACGTGACCTGGTGGTTAAACCGTTCGCTCTCCATGCCGAAGAACTGGGTTTGATTCCTACATGACCTATTTCTGGTGTCTGCTTGAACATTGCTACAAGCGGTGTAGAACTATACTCAGTCACTAATGATATTTGCGAGAACTTAGTGAACGATGACGATGATGGTGATGATGATGGTGATGATGATGGTGATGCTGATGATGGTGATAAGAATAATGAAGACAACAAGAGGCTTACCCAGCTCACCTGGCGAGTGGGAAATAACAAACTGGGTGTGAGATGTAACTTTTCCCTCCCGTGTGTTTTCCGGCTCTGGGTCGGATGGGACCACTCGGACCCCGGAAGTGTTCCCTCTGTGTTTGGCAATCTCTCGATGGATCTTGTCCTTTAAAACCTCCAGATAAAACTTGTCTTGTAACGACGTGTTTCTTGGTATTCCGTTCACTAAACCAGGGGGTAAGGCGACATTGGCAGAAATTTCTTGATACATCAAAGTTCCCACCAGCCAAACTAGTGACACCCAAATGGTGTGGATTCGTAACATTGCCGCGGCGACCAGGAAGGGACAATGTGGGCCCACGAGGACTAAATCACCTTCGACTCGAACTGAAAACAGAAGCGGAAATTAGAACCTAAACATCACCGCTTTAACAATATATCCGACTTTACTGAAGATCGGGTGGACAAAATGGCTGCAAATATAAACACAGTAAACAACGGTTATGACGAACTTAAAGGGACCACTGACTTTAGTTCGTTATAACCATAGTCCGCTAACATATACATTGGCCGGGACAAACACTTCTTAGTATACGTCGGTTCGTTTCAAGGGTGTTCGCATTGAACGCAGTGTGCTATCTAGAACATTGTCTCTGTCCGGTTTATTATACTCGAAGAATTGTCAAATGGCTGAAAAGTACAGGCACGCATTGCCAGGATCAATGACTAAATAAAACCTATTGTGACCTGTTTGTGTGTCGTTCTACTATCACAGCGTGGTTCGATTCTGTCAAAATCTGACTGAGGTTTGTTTGCTCCAGCTGAACTGTGACCATGATGCAAGCATGATGCATCACTGGTTGGGACTTAAACCCCGACACATAAACCAGTAAACGATAGGACAGTCCTGTTGAATAGCGAGTCACCTTTGAAGCCCTGAGTTTTACATCCCATCTATGTACAACATTTACTCCGATGACAGTCCGTCGTGATTTTGGTCAAATGCAACTTGAAATACAGAAGCACATGACGTAATATTTGTTAGTTTACGATTACCTTAACAACAATATGCAGGAATATACTCAAGAAAATGAAACATAATCAATTTGTAGCAGAAGGTAAATAGCAATCACACCTGTTAATTTGGATTCTTATAGGATAATGATCTAGTCGCGCCCAGCAAACTGAGACAATGTCGATGTGTGACGCCAAGCTCGAGAAGTGTCAAACATAAAACTAAACTATGCACCAAGACGTCTGTAGTCGTCGACAAATGCCCACACAGCAGCTGAAGCATTTCCTGAAAAGTTCATATAAGCAGATTTAATTCTGTGTCCTTTCCGGTTATAACTGAACGTTCTGTCTGATTACCGCATCATCAACTTATCAAGGGAATCGATATAACCCTTCTCGTCACTTCGGATGCTGTGTATGAAGTTGATATACAGGCATCCATGAACAGACAACTAATGTTTTCAGCGAAAGCTCTACCAAGGGAACATTTTACAACATTAGAGACTTGGTATATTTCACTAACTTTCAATAACACTTAAGTCACATGGTTAGCCATTTATCCGCAATATAACATATCTGATTTGAAACGTTTAACGCCAAACTTCAGCTACATGACATAGATCCAAGATAAATAAATATGCTTACAGTCCAAAATGTACATCCCACAAGAAACTAGTGTTTTATCCAATGTTCGTACAACCATGAAGATGGTCCCACAATCAGAGTTAAATACAAACGCAAATCAAACACAACTGAGAGTCGAATGTCTAGTCCCACCTTGAAACCATCCAGTTATCAATATCGACGCATTCTCCCCGCCGTTGTCGATGCAGTCAGTGGAGTTCCCGTTGTTACTGTTGATTATGTAGTGTCAAAAGATAGCACTGATACCGCCCACACCGCGGTGAGAGATTGGTTGTAGTGAAGCATCTCTTCATCTCGGTCAGCTGCTGAGAGTACCAGCATCACCCACACTTGGACAGAACGTTTTACAATACCTCCCATCCTCACTGCTAAATTGGTTGTTTCATATGACAAAGAACTATTGATATATCGGCTCTTTCCTGACTCTTAACCCGTACACGTTAAACATGCTGGTTTAATCTCTAAGAGTCAGGAACCTACAACCGGTTGATTGGCTGACTGTACCAGAGAGGCATCGCCATCTCTTTAGTGATTAGCCACTAGAATATCCAAATCTGAAGCTGATGTGTGTTAGGAGGTAGCAATTCCCCTTTCCTAGGTGTTTCAATTATATTCCATTATTTTAGTCCTGCTCAATGTGGGAAGAAAGCCCGAAGTAATGATATATACTTTTGGACGATCATCATTTTGGCGAAACCCTCAAGCACAAGTATAGAACTCACCAAGAAACTTAGTCCTTGCATTCGAGCCGCACCAGTGCACCCCGCACATCCTGAATGACTGACTGACTGAGTTTAGTTTTACGCCGATTTTAGCAATATTCCAGCATCATCACGGCGGGGGACACCAGAAATGGGCTTCACACATTGTGCCCATGTGGGGATTCGAACCCGGGTCTTCGTCGTGACGACGTGCCAACGCTTTAATCATTAGGCTACCCCACCGCCCCACATCCCGAATGATTATAAGCGAGACTCTTTATGCTTTGTAGGGCAAACATGACCAGCTCATGAATTAGATGAACTAGCAAGTGCATGTGGTTTTATGCCGTTTTGACAGGCATCCAGTTATATGACGGTATGCCAACTGAATGATGAAGGCAAGCCCGATTTATCACACTCACGGTTATGGTAAAGACAACCTTTAAAACAAAATAGGGACGGATGACTTAAAGAAAGACGCTCTACACATTTCAAAATGTATTTGTGAAGGGTTGATAAACTTTCCCAGCAATACAGTAATTGTGTACAGGGGAAGCGACTGAAGGGGTGTACACAGCACACGGCATTATGGGGGAATTCTTCAACTAATTGGCTCCCCCGTCCTCAATATCCGGGAGTAACGGTATTTAGTTATACGTCATACCGACATGGATCACCATTGTGAAGTTGATAACTATTTAATGTGTAGTATTTCAGCTATACCACGACGAGAGTTATGCTCAATCATCCTATCTTTAAACACCGTGTCGCCACTCAACAATCCCCTGACATTCTTTATCGATAGTTGCATGCGCACCCACGCACCCACGCACCCGCCCAACCAGTGGATTCTGTTTCTCCAACTGATCTACCATGGCGTGAATCTTACGTGACGTTGTAGACTTTGTGTGGATAAGCTGGATAATCCCACTGGCTGAACCCTGAGAGTGGCTGTTCGTGGGGGAGGAACCTTTACCACTGGACCAAGCTGTGGATAAAGACACACGGCCGTTTTCCCGTAGGCAGTTGGATTACAGATGGACCCACACACATTCAAATATACGTCGCCTCTCACAGTTCTGACTAGACAACATCCATAGCTTGTGAGAACAGTGATTTGGTTCTTTACTTTTCGACAAACATTACCACGACCGGCGTCACTGTGCCACTAGCGCCCCCTCTTAAATAAAGATGACCAATGTACTGTAGATATACTGCAAGTTCAAAAAGGCGTTAAACCCCTGGCATGTCGCTTGCTATCTAGTTTGCTGATGGGTGTCATGATCACAGCATATAGTCTTGTCGCCAGCACACGAAGTCTAACCGACTGAGCCACCGCCGCCACCACAACAACATGGAAGTCTGACAACTAGTAGTCCAGATCCTGCCCTGACTGCAACACTGCACGGGTTGGATGGTTGGTTTATTGTTTCACGCCGCGCTCAGCAGTATTCCAGCTATATGGCGGCGGGCTGTAAATAATCGAATCTGGACCAGATAATCCAGTGATCAACAGCATGATCATCGATCCTTCTGCACAGGGAACTCTAGTTCCTGATACAACTGCCCCACCCCATCCCCCTGTCACAAATAGGGATCAGCTGTTTCTTGCAGGACTAATTATGAAAGACGCACTAAGAATTACTGGAACCAGTACGTGTTCCTGTGGGGTTTTCAGACTTGGTCTGTGATCATTCAGCTGACAATAAATAGACGTCGACACAAGGAATACATGTAGTTGAAATCGATATATCGTATGTCTCGAAACACTCATGCATCGACATTTCAGTGATCTGACCACGTGACGTACAATGAAACAAACGTAAATCGATATTAAACATTGATTTATTATTCTGGAAATATTCAAGTTTCAAGATAGAAGCTAATTCGGGTCACGTCATGGCTTGCAGTTAATGGTCATATTTCCATATAAACGACTGGAAGTCATTGATCCCCAGGTCAGCGAGTGTTTAGCGGTACCACCAGTGCACATCAGTACAGTAAGGCCTCAGCTTCGACAACCTACTGAAGCTGCTCTCCCTTGGGGGAAGCAATATACTTACAAGTGATAAAATATATTCATTTGATGCTGCGCTGGCAAGAGACATGTAGTAGATAAGGACACATAGTAACAACATGGCTAGACATATCTATGGTTTGTTCAAGTGTTTTCTCTCACGTACACGTGTCTCAGCTTCCAGGAATAATATATCGTTAATCATAAAGATTCGAGTCGGTAAATAGACGGAGATATTACCTAAAGTGGCTGCAACTACCACCCATATTATATTTGGTTTCCGATCAGATGGTGCGGCTGTCTGGTCCATGGCGGCAATGACCATTCTCCAGCTCCATACATCACGGCTGTAATGAACTCGGGGATATCAGGAGCTTCCCGATCCATGGAATCATGTCTGTAACCTTCTCTATGAATGAAAGGTCTTCACGCTGAGATGGACATTAACCGGCCCGGCAGTACAGCCATTACCGGCCCTTTATCATGTACGACTGGTAAAGTGAAAGTAAATTCACACAGTCAGTATTGACTCTTGCAGTCGACTTGCTTCAGTATAGAAGTTGCCTCGCCAATACACGCCTTGGCTCTCTCAACAGAAGTTGCCTCGCCAATACACGCCTTGGCCCTCTCAACAGATGTTGCCTCGCCAATACACGCCTTGGCTCTCTCAACAGATGTTGCCTCGCCAACACACGCCTTGGCTCTCTCAACAGATGTTGCCTCGCCAACACACGCCTTGGCTCTCTCAAACAGATGTTGCCTCGCCAATACACCTTGGCCCTTGTTGCCTCGGCCTCTCTCAACAGATGTTGCCTCGCCAACACACGCCTTGGCTCTCTCAACAGAAGTTGCCTCGCCAATACACGCCTTGGCTCCCTCAACACGCCTTGGCTCTCTCAACAGAAGTTGCCTCGCCAATACACGCCTTGGCTCTCTCAACAGATGTTGCCTCGCCAACACACGCCTTGGCTCTCAACAGATGTTGCCTCGCCAACACACGCCTT